ACTACTGATCTAGCTTAATATTTTCTAGATATATATACAAATATATATGATCGATATGGCCAGTCTTCAAATGCCAGGATTCAGATGCGCGGGGGACTTTTCCTGAATGCAATCTCTCTCTTGTCCGCAAGGTATATAAATAAATAAATAAATATATATATATATATATATTATATAAACATAAAGTACATATAATATATATATGTATAATTATTGTGTGTAATACCTCTTTGTTTTATTTTGGAGGACTTGTTTTCACTATTTTTTGGCTGATATAAGGACTAAAAAGCATGGAAACTAACGTATGTAATATTCCCGTTTAAGACCTCTTACTCCAGTGGCACTGGAGAGTTTGAGTAGGCCAGGTGGGTCAATCCGTGTTGTATAAAAATAATAAAAAAAGTATGCGATATTCCCAGCAAAAAGAAGTGGAGTTACCTATAATATAAGGTAGCTAACATATATGCATTATGAGTTTGACAAAAATTATATAATCAGGGCCTTTTAATTAATGCACGCCTTCTTAATTATTTATGGTTTTGTCATGTTTGACTAGTACATGCACCTTAACATTCATTTGCGGATCCTGTGGCCAAAATGATGTCTAAATATTTCCATTAATGTTCAATAATTGCTACATAAAATAGTCAAAATTAATAAATATATTTGTTTTTTCAAAATGAAATAGACAAAGTTTCTTTTTTCTTTTGGTTAAAAAAAGAAAATAATCGACACCGGCCGTTAAATTAGATATACCTAACAAGCTCTTCACTTTAATCTATTTTTAAGAACATCTTTATTCATTTTGACGGGTTAAAATCTCATTACTAACACAAAATGAATCCTGCTAAACAGATAAACCTAATCTAGTGAGATCTTATCAGGATGAATACCATTTTTATTTAAAAAGGATTCTCAGTACGTTTGTACGTACTTTTATTCTGATGGTCAATAGGTACTACCAATATATGACTTTATACGTCTAAATAATAATTACATGATTACGTAAGACGTATTTAAGGTTTTTTTTTTTTTTTGCTACGGAGTATTTAATGGTTTGTCATCTTTGCTTGTTACAATAAAAAAGATTTTCGAGATTTTACTTTTAGTCTACTCGGTCAAAGACTCAAAAGGCTAATTAGTTAATATATTGGACTACTACGACCAAAACACAATATTAATGACTAATTACTGGCATCTCTACTTGCCGACGCTTGATAAAAACAAAATAGCACCGGAAGTGCTGTTATCATCATCCCAAAATTTTAAACTTCGTGAATCATTCTTGCATCCAAATTTAAGGTAAACTTAATGTTAATTAAGTACTAGTATTAATGATCACAATCACAATACCTATGTATATTTTTTTTTTTGAAAGGTTATAATACCCATGTGAAAGTTCTAGATGATCCGTAATAAATTTAAGATGACTAATAAAAAGACATAATTTACAGCAGCAGCAGCACCGATCGTGAACCAAAAGTACAACATTGAAACGCCAATTATGGGGAACGCGGCAGCTGCGGGGCTTTCGGTGATGGCAGTGATTCTGTCGACAGGCCACATATCCGGCGCACACCTAACCCCGCGGTCACCGTTGCATTTGCTACGGTGAGGCACTTCCCTTGGGCCCAAGTTTCTCCTTACATAGCAATCCAGGTTTTGGCTTCCGTTTCTGCCTCCTTCATTCTCAAGGAAGTTTTTGACCCCTTCATGTCTGGCGGAGTCACGGTTCCCACTGTAAGCCATGGCCAAGCATTTGCATTAGAGTTCATCGTCACCTTCATCCTCATGTTAGTTAACATGGCTGTGGTAACCGATACCCGTGCGGTACGTACAATTCCTATAAAATATTCTGCCCAATTTCGCTTACATTTTGTGGTTGCATGATTTTGTGAACGATCAGTACTTGCGTCAAATACTTCTTGATAGTTATATACTTGTGAATATTAAATTGTTATAATATAACAAAATATATTAAAAGAAAGTACTTATTATATCCAGCTCCTAAAATTCTTAACGATTTAGAAACATTTCCTCAGAGTACTTCTCCATACCCTCTTAAATATTTAAATCAATACATGTCACATTCTTATGGATGAGAGATTGGGGACAGGTGGGAGAATTGGCAGGTATAGCAGTCGGAGGTACAGTTCTGCTCAACAATCTGGTAGCCGGGTCAGTATCCTCATTTTGAGTATTTCCGAACCTATTGATTTTTTTTTTTTCATTTTTCTTTTAAGATTTAGGGACCATTCTTTAATCTTTATTTTTTTTTATTTTCTTTTTTAAGTTTCTGTTTCCGTAACGTTTATAAAAGAGAGAAAGAGAGAAATAGGCCAAGACTTGAGATGAATTAAAATTAATAGGCCAATAGTTTACATAAGTTAATAAATAAGTCAAATTATTGTTTTTGTCCATAACTTGTCCGGTTATGAACCATAACTTGATAAGTTATTGTCCATAACTTATCTGATTATAAACTATAACTTGACAAGTTTGTTCATAACTTATCTGGTTATAAACCATAACTTGACAAGTTATAGCATATTAATTTCTATAACTAAAAAATGACCTATATACTTTTTTAAGCTTTTTATATTGGCCTATTTCCTACTATTTTCCTTTATAAAATGATAGTTTAAAGACTACCAGAAGATCAATCCCATACTAGACATATTAAAGTGATTATCATTAATTTAGCTTGGATTTGTTTTCTAGATTGAATTTCATTTCTACACTACAGTTTTTATGTTCCTTTTAGTCAATACAGATTCAGAAACCCATGTACTCTGGGCAGTGACAGTCCTCGACATTTACTTACTGGATCAATTAGAAGAAAAGCAGTCTACAATGGAAGTTGGGATACTAGATTAGTTAGTACCAAAACAACCTACATAGAAGTTAAGATGTGCAACATTCCTTTAGTGTTTCCAATTTCAGTTGCTTCTCTACTAGAGCACAGAAATAAGGATATAAAAGTTACTAAAACTGTTTGGTAATACAATGGCAGGCCAGCAACAGGTGCCTCAATGACTCCTGTAAGGACTCTGGGTCCGGCAGTTGCAGCCGGCAATTACAAAGGAATGCGGATATATACGGTGGCACCACTACTCGGGGCCTTAGCTGGGGCAGCTACCTACACTGCAATGAAGCTCCTAGACAAACCAACAAATCAGGTATAATAAGGGAATCACACCTTGTTTTCACTTCGGCCATCAAATATCATTTTTGTCTCTGTTTTGATTCATTATAATTAAATTGAATTTGTATGTCATGATGAGGTTATGCAATTGGTGAACATTTTCAACTTCCACCTAAACTAAATGAACAAATAACTGTTTTGCATTTACTACCAAGCATTGTTTAGGGGCAGTAGACAAGTACTAGGACATGGCCAATATTATAAGCAAGTACTATGAGTTGTGTTGTTTTGAACTAGATTTATGATGACTCCAATGCTCAGGATGCCTCTTCAGCAAGTTATGTGCCTCCTTCCACTGCACAGCGTAATTCAGAAGCTGCCACTTGTGGTTTATGTTCATGATTTAAGTGTTCTAGCTGGTCAGACTTTATTTGATTGCACAGTATTAAACTCTTATATTTTGATTGCAGGTCACATTATATGAGCTGGAGTTTTCTCATGAAGAAAAAGAAAAATACGATAGTGATAAATGGCTTATAAATTTAATACCATGTAATCAAGTCAGCTTATCTACATTTATACATATATTATTTACAGGAAATAATGCATATAACCAACAGAGCTTTGAAAAACGAGTTTCATAGAAAGGAGAAAAATCCGTCAAAAGTAATATTACCAAGATCAACAAAGCAGAGCTACAGCGCGCTTAGATCACTGCTTCCATGCTACAGAAGTTTCGGGACCAAATAAGTACTGTGCTGTGTTCTCTCAACCAAGCTGTAGAGAATGTCAGCCAGATGAACTAGCAAAAATAATGAGTTAAATATAAGGAATGCTCTTTCTATTGCCTCCCTACATTTTCATGGTGTGTTTGCCAATGTGGATGTTTCTTTGAGTTAGTAACTTGATTGTGTATTTGTTGCCATCCTACTTGTGTATGCGGCTTCTGTAATCACCAAGTAGCGTGAGGAATTTTGTGTGCCTTGCACTTATCCGAACAAATATTTTGTAGATAGATATTCGATAAGTCAATATCAAAAATATTGGTGTAAAAACTGAAGGTATCTTTTATTTTTGTTTTTTCTTTTCTAAAATATTATTAGATTCCCAATCTTCAAAATTCAAAAATGAACGGCCCCTTTTGAAGAATGGCCGTCTATCTTAATCATAATGGTCAAATAAGGAGTCCTTACAGCAGAAGCATTGCAAGCACCCACAATGCATCTTAAGTTGTCTCTGGAAGTTCCCTAGAACTGAAATTTTATTAACTCACTTCATTTTTGGGTTGCTTTATTCGTTCTGGTTAAAGCTTGTCTTGTGACGTTACACGCTTTTCATTCTGCTTCGCCATCGTCTTCACTAGCATTACTGACAGGTGTACTTTCGTCAACAGTTGCTGGTGGATCTTCTATGGCATTGTCACCTTGATTATCCACATATGCTTGAGAGCTCACAACCTGTCCTGTCAAGTCTTTATGTTTTAGGTTACCTGTCAAAATAAGATATGAAACGTTGAATAAACTTGAACATCAATTGAAAATGACAGTAAGCATAAAAATTAAGATGACGTTAAACTCATTTGATAGCCATAATCATCCGCGACCACTAAATAGGGATACCATATTGACCATAAAGTTGCCAATTTGATTGACTTATAAAATTTTGAAAGAATTCCAAGAAATCAAACTACTTTATGCAATGTAACCAAATTAATTAATCTTGAGCCAAACTTGTGCCTGATTAACAGTATATTATTCTAGGAAGAGCATAAACTTTCTTCTTTGTCGTGAATATGGCATCCTTTGATCGAATTCGGCAATATTTAGAGACACATGCGCACATGCTAAAAAGAGCTTACATTTTTTTCTTCTAGATTGTAAAAATCTTTTTTGGAAACATGGAAATCATGCAGTTCCAAAATCTAGCAAGTTTCCTCAACTAAATTTCTCTTTCCATAATCAGAATGGATTCAATTAATATGTAGAAATCAGGAAAGTAGACTAAAGTCATGGACCGGATATGTACCAATCCGGTTAATAAGGGCTTAGAGATAAATTAGGAAAGTAGTTTATTCTTTCAATTTTTAAGAGATTCCTTGAGATAAGGATCTCCCTCAATCAAGGGATTTGCTTTCCCTATTCCGTGGGATGGTTTTCCTATAAATATTGTAACCCTTGTACATAAAATATTAATGCGAAATACTTCTTTTCTGCCCTGAAACCTACATGGTATCATAGCCGAAAATAATCTTCTCAATTGATGGCTGAAACGGCCATTACAGAAGAAGGAAGATCCTCGGCATCCTCTAGGGCAAAAGGCCCTAATCGTGGTGAACTAGATCGAACCACCATGGCTCAAGGGGGAGACTCCTCTCATTTTTCATTCCAATTGACTCTCCACAAATTGAACGGGAAAAACTACCTAGAATGGGCACAATCGGTGAAGCTGGCCATAGATGGAAGCGGGAAACTCAATCCTCTGAATGGAGAAGTGAAGAACCTGGAGATGGAGATCCGAAACTGAAAGCATGGAGATAAGAAAACTCCTTAGTCATTGCCTGGCTAATCAACTCTATGGAACCGACCATAGGTAAACCCTACCTTTTTCTTTCTACTGCAAAAGATGTATGGGATGCGGTTAGAGAGACTTATTCTGACCTTGAAAATTTCTCACAAATCTTTGAATTGAAAACCAAGTTGTGGAAATCCAAACAGAGTGAGCGTGAGGTTACAGTTTATTATAATGAGATGGTTTCCCTATGGCAAGAGTTAGATCAATGTTACAATGATGAGTGGGACTGCCCAACTGATAGCGTGAGATTCATGAAAAAAGAAGAGAGTGATCGAGTGTACCTGTTTTTGGCAAGTTTGGATTGAGTCTTTGATGAGATTAGGTCTAGGATCCTCGGGAAAAACCCTCTACCAACTCTTCGGGAGGCCTTTTCTGAAATTAGGATAGAGGAGACTAGGAAGAAGGTTATGTTGAAAACCGAAGAAGATAACAAACCTGTGACTGCTGTGACTGACAATTCTGCCCTTGTGTCAATGAGGAATGAATCGAAAAATGACAGGAAAAAGAAGCCTTGGTGTGATCATTGCAAGAAACACTGGCATACGCGTGAAAACTGCTGGAAGATTCATGGAAAACCGCAGAACTAGAAGAAGAAGAATGCTGATAACAGGGGCTTCTCGACTCAAGCAACCAATGAAGATCAGGGACAACAAAGTACTCCTGAAGGGCTGCCTTTCATGAAGGAGCAATTGGAGCAACTACACAAGTTTTTTCAGTCTTCACAGTTCCGAGTAAACCAATCAACCCCTTCCTGTTCCTTTGTCCAAACAGGTAATCTGGTCTCGGCCTTCCTCAGTGTCAATCCTAAACAAAACAACTCCTGGATAATAGATTCTGGAGCCACTGATCACATGACAGGTTGCTCCCAATTTTTTTTAACTTATACCCCCATGTGCAGGGAATAAAAAGATTAGAATAGCTGATGGTTCCCTCTCCGCAATTGCTGGAACAGGAACTGTTAAAATTTCCAATTCTATAATCTTGCATGATGTACTTCATGTTCCTAAACTCTCTTGTAACCTTGTGTCTATTAGTCAGATAACAAATTCCCTTAATTGTCGTGTTATTTTTTACTCCTCTTGGTGTGAGTTTCAGGACATGGTCTCGGGGAGGATGATTGGCAGTGCTAGAGAAAGTGGAGGTCTCTATTTTCTTGAAGATGGAACCGACTCAGGACACCAAGTTCAAAATTCTTGTTTAAACTCTATTTTCGTTTCTAAGATGTTATGCCTTGGCATTATAGATTAGGACATCCAAGTTTTTATTACTTAAAACATTTGCTACCTAATTTATTTAGAAATAAAAGTCCACCTTTGTTTAAATGTGAGATTTGTGAACTAGCTAAGCATCATCGTTCTTTCTTTCCTTCTAAACCATATCAAGCATCAAAACCATTTATGCTAATTCATAGTGATGTTTGGGGACCATCTAGGGCCTCAACAATGTATGGAAAAAATGGTTTGTTAGTTTTATAGATGATCACACACGACTCACTTGGGTATATTTATTAAGGGACAAGTCCAAAGTAAAAGAGATTTTTCAGGTATTCTATACAATGATTGAAACACAATTTCATGAAAAAATAAAAGTGTTTAGGAGTGATAATGGTAGAGAATACTTTAATGAAATCCTAGGGGGATATTTTTCAAAAAAGGGCATAATACATCAAAGTTCATGTTCAGATACACCCCAACAAAATTGGATAGTAGAAAGAAAAAACAAACACCTCCTAGAAGTCACTAGAGCATTATTATTTACTAATGGTGTTCCTAAGTATCTTTAGGGAGAGGCACTACTAACTGCAAGATACCTAATAAATCGCATGCCTACCAAAGTTCTAAATTATCAAACACCTTTAAATGTCTTCAAGAATACATTTCCTACCTCTAAGTTGACAACAAATTTACCCCTGAGAGTGTTTGGGTGTAGTGCATTCGTTCATATTGACAGTCAAAATAGGGGGAAGTTAGATTTTCGCGCCAGAAAGTGTATATTTGTAGGATATGCTCCGAACCAAAAAGGCTACAAGTGTTATGACGTAAAATCTCACAAAATGTTTGTCACAATGGATGTTACCTTCTTTCAGTCTCAACCATTTTTTGGCACTCATCTTTAGGGGGAGAAAATAAATGAACAATAAATGAAGATTCGGACTTTGAAATAGAAACTGCAACTGAAACTGTTCAATCCATAACAAAGAGCCCAAATTTCCTAATAAATGTGGAGTTGAGTGACTTAAGTAATGAAAATTTGAACTCTGAGTCCATAGAGTTATCTCATAACATTAATAAAAATGCAAATAGGGAACAAACAGGAACAAAAAAACTACTGGTTTACAGGAGGAAGAACCGAAAGCAAGGAGTAGAGACTGAAACTATCCAACACTGCCAAGAGCCTGAACCACAGATCAGTCCAGATCCTTCATCACAGGACATCCCCAATTATGCTCATGGTAATCCTCACACAGTATCTATCCACACAAACTTGTCTAATCCCGAATCCGAGCCCAATATACCTGAGCCTGATCTCTCTATTGCTAAACGCAAAGGGGTCAGAAATTGTGTAAAGTATCTGTTAGGATCTTGTTTTCCTAAGTCTTTTCTATGCAGTGTTCGTAAGACAGTAAGTAATTGAATGAAAATTAACCAAAAAATGGGTCTGGCTCCTTGTATTTATGGGGAAAAACGAAAGATTACAGATAGAAGGGGAATTCGAAAACCCTAAGCCTCCAACAGTCTAATTCTCACAGCAGCAAAATTCTTCGATTCCTCCCAACCCAACGGCTGGGCTATTTATACTACCCTTCTCTAACCAACTAGACACTCCCCCCAGCGGGTTCCATTCCACTCACCCTCCCCAATCCCAAGACCAAGGATTCTAACAGAATTGCTAATCCCCACGACTAATCCTCCTTCAAATTACCAACCAGTCCATGCTGGTCATTCTTCCTTCTTCTAGCATAAACAAATTTAATAGGCGGAGACCTATCATTACTTCCCCCCTGGAGACCAACCTTGTCCCCAAGGTTGAAAGCAGGAAATTGGTCCCGAATCAGGGTCACAGGTTCCCAAGTGGCATCCCCCGAGGAAAGGCCCTCCCAACGAACCAAAATTTCTTCCACTTGGCGCCCCCAACGAAGATGGTGCGAACGTCCAACACAGCAGCTGGCTTGACAACCAGTTCCAAGTCAGCTGTCAACTGCTTAAGGAGAGGTTGACCCTGGTACTGCTACCCCCTAAACTGCTTTAGCTGGGAGACGTGAAAAACATGGTGAATCTTGGCAGAAGCAGGTAAGTCTAAGCGATACGCCACCTGACCAATTTTCTCCAGAACGGCGAACGGCCCATAGAAGCGAGGACTGAGCTTCTCATTAACCTTCCGAGCGATGGATTTCATGAAATATAGGCGGAGTCGAAGCAAAACCAGGTCGCCCGGAGCTGTATTGTGACAACAAGGCAGCAATCAGCATTGTCCACAATCCAATCCAACATGACAGAACAAAACATGTTGAGATTGACCGGCACTTTATAAAGGAAAAGATTGAAGCTGGAGCCATCTGTATGCCATTTGTTCCAACGTCACAACAAGTGGCCGATGTTCTTACTAAAGGATTATTCAGACCAAACTTCGAGTTTCTCATTAGCAAGTTGGGCATGATAGATATCTATGCATCAACTTGAGGGGGAGTGTAGAAATCAGGAAAGTAGACTAAAGTCATGGACCGGATATGTACCAATCCGGTTAATAAGGGCTTAGAGATAACTTAAGAAAGTAGTTTATTCTTTCAATTTTTAAGAGATTCCTTGAGATAAGAATCTCCCTCAATTAAAGTATTTACTTTCCCTATTCCGTGGGATGGTTTTCCTATAAATATTGTAACCCTTGTACATAAAATATTAATGAGAACCACCATAATAT